GGTTTAGGGTTTAGGGTTTAGGGTTTAGGGTTTAGGGTTTAGGGTTTAGGATTTAGGGGTTTAGCGTTTAGGGTTTAGGGTTTAGGGGTTTAGGGTTTAGGGTTTATAGCGTTTAGGGTTTAGGGTTAGGGTTTAGGGTTTAGGGTTTAGGGTTTAGGGGTAGGGTTTAGGGTTTAGGGTTTAGGGTTTAATTAGGGTTTAAGGTTTAGGGTTTCAGGTTTCAGGTTTAGGGTTTAGGGTTTAGGGTTTCAGGTTTAGGGCTTAGGGTTATAACTGGGGTTACAAGTAGGGGAACTGTATGTGCAACCCATATTGGGGGACTTATAACCCTACTTAAAAAATGTATAGCCCATATTCGGGGACTTACAACCCTACTCATGACTACCCACGAACGTCCGAGTAGGTGCTGCAGTTGAGGGTTGTTGGAAACTCCCCGAATAATTAGGAAGAGTATTCCTACGTAGTATAGCTCCTGCATCACTATAACACGCAATAAACCACCACAATCCCCCCATTGCAACTTGTGAGCGGTCTCAGACTGGCAGGAACAAACCCGATACTGTAACCATGCTCCTATAAATGCAGCCCCTAAAAACCTAAACCCTAAACCCTAAACCCCAACAAACCTAAACCCTAAAAACACCCGAAGAAGCGCTACGAAGACCCTCTTGTTTCGGACCTCAGCCTTCTTGGTGCTCTCCGCCTCAGGCTTGGTGGCATCCTTGTCCTTGTCCGGGGCTACCTTTCCAGAAAACACAGACATGAAAAAACGGAATGGTAGCTCTTGTAATGTTCGTTTATGACATGACCTCGCCGGAAAACAAAAAATATCCACTGCTGTTTGACTCCCCCCGAACCACACGAACCCTATATTACCCGAACCCCATCGAATCCCTAAAACCTAAACCCTAACCCGTAAGCCCTAATCCCTACACTTTCAGCTGTGACCACAGAGGCTGCAAAGACACAGGGTTGACTTCACGCTGATGGACTTAAAATTTAGCTGGTAAGGTACGACGGAGATTTCCAGGATCAGGGAATAACACGAGTGAGTGTACACGATGGGGTTCCCCAGCACCCGTCCTCGACTGCCAAGTAAACCTGAGACCTAAACAGAGAACCCCAGAAACCAAAGCCCTAAACCCTAAACCCTAAACCTTAAACCCTAAACCCTAAACCATAAACCCTAAACCCTAAACCATAACGGCTTGCCTCCGACGACTCCTCCTGTAGAGAGAGGCAAGCTTGAGTGTTTTCCTTCAGTATTTTGGGGCTCAGCCTGGAGTTAGACCATGTAACCTGTGCCTCAGACTACCCATAAAGGGTTTAGGGTTTAGGGTTTAAGGGTTTAGGGTTTAGGGTTTAGGGTTGAGTGTGTGATGGGGAATTGAAACGACCCCCGGGGGCAAAGTAGGTTCAGGTAGTTCCAGGTCCCAGCGAATCCAAGGTAACGTCGCCAGAAGTAGGGCGGGGTCAGGAAATGTTATTCTTTACCTTATCGTTCATGGTTTGTGTAACTGAAATATGCTCCACGCAGGCACTGAGGATCTTGTTGATGACCCTGGATGACCCTCATGTAAACCCACAACAGTATAATCCACATGATACCTGCATCCTAGATAAGGCACCCATATCGGAACCCTCTTAAGTACCTTCCAAAACCCTGATCATCCTTGCAAACCCGTCAACGCCCAATCATTCACCTTCCCCCCCAACCCCTACACCCTAAACCCTAAACCCTCACTCTTCCCCGACCCTAAACCCTCACTCTTCCCCTAA